CACAAAAGCTCTCTCCTGCTATAAGGTAGAAAGTCAAGAGACCATCTGCCTCAAGAGACATACTGTACTCATTATTTTCTCTTCCTCGTTTGTTCTTTTTCTTACATTGAGTTGTACAGTAAAACAGTACATCTGCTTATTAAGTGTTTTTCTCTCTCCTTTTGCTTTTCAGGTTCTTGGGGATGTTTTATTGGAGCTGTATCGGGCTCTGAAGTGGGTGGTGCGGTCGGACCCAGATGAGGTGGCTGTAATCCACGCTCAACTCGCTCTGGAGGAGCTGAATGATGTCATGAGGAGGTTCATCTTCCCTCAGCAGAAACTTGAGAAAAAGATTGTGGTACTTCCTTGAAAATGCTCCAGGACTAACATAACCTCTTTATAGACAGAGGATTTCCTCATAGATTTCCACCATCCATTACATTTTTACTACTTGTAGTAATTGAAAGATTTATATATTTTCGGGGGGGTTCTTCTAATTTTTCACACCCATATTTTCATTCTCAAACCAAAAAACCTGTCTTAGCATTGATAAACTAGCATTATGGCTTTTGTTATCTGGTACACTGAGGTTAGAGGGCACCAAAAGCTATGTAAAGAGCGCTGCGGTAGCTTGTTTCCACTCTATTCTCCACTGGTGATAAAATGCCTGTTTGCTTTTTATCGAATGTTTGTGGTACATATAAAGATGGCTAGGTCATGACATCATTGTAAGAAGCGACAGGGCAATTAGTCATTCTCCTAAATTTCCCCCCACTGCACAATACTGAAAATTTCCATTCATGTTAACCGTTTCTATGGCTTCCTGACCTCCTGGGTCTGCACCAAAACAGAGCTGGTTAAATACCATGTGAATTGTATGTACCAATTAAAATGTTAGCATTTACACTCAAAATGTTAGTTTGATCATAAGGTGTCTCTGAAATAAAATAAAAAGTTATTATTTTTCCAAAGATGGTCTAATCTGTTTATATTATTCTGTCGTTAACAGTTTTCTTTTTACAGTTTTAAAGTCAGTGTAAGTGTAAGCACATGTCTGAACATCTGGGTTGGTTTGCAGTGCCACAAGTTCCTGTGCTGTAAGGTAATAGAGGTGAACCAACCATTCACCTGCTAAAAGTAGTTCACACTGTACACATAAAGCATTTGTGTGAGTATTATATTTGCTTGTATTAAAGTCAATATGATTGACATTAATACAGATTGATCAGATTGATCTTCGCAAAGGATTGTGCTAAGGATTGTAATGTTAAAGAGGTGGTTCACTGTTTTTTTTCTAGGCTTGATTGTGTTTATGGGTTGCAGTCTAACGTGTTAATGCTTCGTTTTTAAAAAAATGCATTATTTTTCACATAATTTACCTTTATTCCACACCGCTCTGTCCCTTCTCTGAGAAGCGCATGGATCATTTCTGATCATTTCCTGCTTTTATGAAGCCCCTCCCTCAGAAATAGGCGATGGGCTCTGATTGGCTAGCTAGCCCAGAGTGTTGTGATTGGCTAAACCACCTCTAGTGTGCGATTTTGAAACTTGTGAATCCATTAGAATCTTTAGAAGACAGAATCGCGATTCACCCAATAAAGGATGCATTGAGAGGGTGTGTGTGTAGCCAAGAGAAGAGGGTGCCTGCTTAAACAGTCCCAAGTCTTGTTGAAGGCTGGCTGCACTGCAGAGCAGGGGGAAAAGCACAGAGAAGGGACCTTGAAGGATTTCGGGCTACACTGCAGAACGATGCCACTGCAGTACAGCACTGACACAGAGGAATGAGGTCCATCGGTGGATCCCCGACCTCCTCACATCAGGTGAGAACTTAATTCAGAGCTGATATCAGAGGCCTTCATGCCTCAGGAGGAGAGGAAGGCAGAGACACAAAAAGAAGGGGAGGGAAGCAGAGGAGGAGGAGGAGGGTATTGGTGCTGTATTTTTGGATAAGGGATCTCCTGAATTAAGTGTGGCTGGAATAAAGATGTAGTGTGAGCAGGAGGCTGAACAAGGACGGTGCTGTGCTCCACTGTGGTGGAGAGGAGTGGAGCAGATGCCTGGCAGACACACACTCGCACACACTGGCTCATAAAGATGTAGTGTGAGCAGGAGGCTGAACAAGGACGGTGCTGTGTGCTCCACTGTGGTGAAGAGGAGTGGAGCAGACGCCTGGCAGACACACACTCGCACACACTGGCTGAGAGAGAAAGAGAGAGAGCCCACCGTCACATCTGCGGGGCTGGGAAGGTAAGAGACGTTTAATTCAACTTGAGTTTCATCTTGTGTCTGTGTTTATTGTGGGAGTGGATTGAAATATGAAAGCTTGCAGCTTGAGAGCTCTGTCATATGTTCATTGTGTGGTTGTATGTGTGTGTGATACTAAAATTGAGAGAGAGTCAAAGAGTGGAGTTTTAGGTTGGGTGGCTGTGTTTTCACACAGATAGGTTACTGTAAGCTTGTGTTTGTACAGGGTACTAAAAAAATCACTGCTGCACTAAATAACTTAAAAATAAATGGTTATGGATAGCTTTTAGAATTGAACTTGAGAGAATCAGTGAATGTTTGAGATTTTTAAGGTCCTCATATGTGTGTTTTTAGTAATTGCAGTCTTAGTCCTAGTGGAATAAGGCCCATGGTTTGCTGGCACCCTTGTTAGTGCCTTGAGGCTGAGTAAATAAGTGGGCAGCAGGACGGGGTAAAACAGGAAAGCTTCATAATTTGTGTTTTAAGAGTTGTTGCCCAATTAAGGAAAATTATGTCTGTTTAGTTTCCATGTCATCATATAGTAGATTGACAACACAAGGGTCTGGTGAGAGTTTTGAAAAATGCTTCTGGGTTTGTTCACTTTGCCTGGGACCAGAATAATGAGCAAATGTTCACAGAATTTATAATAGACTTGTTAATGATTACATGCAAGTCCAATGTGTTTTTGTGGAAATCTGATGTGTTTTATAAAGTTTATTTAACAGGATAAAAATGATTGTATATATTATCCTATAGCAACTTCAATATTGTTAAATCAGTTTTATATAACTGAATGTGAACATTAAATTATTAAAACACAAGGAATACATGATTCTGGGTGCTTTGGATATTGGATGTGAGAGGCTGAAATCTCTGTAGGTGCCCCCTAGTGTTTTGTTTTCTTTTTTATATTTCTACATTTTCTCTAAAGTTCTTCTCATTTTATTGAAATTATTGAAAAATCTTGTTTAAAATGTGTCAAATTCTTAGAAGTGTAATCTTTGTTGGTTGACTTTTTTGTCACATGACAGCTTTCCTTCATGTTGGTTATGCACCACATTAACTTTGATTTGGCATTTAAATATTTGGCATATGGCATATATAAAATAAAGTATTTTTTAAAATATTTTTGAATGTCACTTCTTATTTTTGTATTTATTTTATTTTATTTCTTAGAATCTCCATTAAGTTACACTACCTAGACAATTTTGACTTAAAAAAATATATATAAACATTTAATTCAGAAACTGAAGCCATGTTTGTCATAGAAGAAATGTATTCAAGTCATTTTTATATTGTTAAATGAATTACATTTTTTATGTATTTTTAAATAACTTAATAGATCCAGGGCAGAAATTAATTAATTCAATAAATAAATAAAAAAACATCACATCATTGACCCATTAACAATTTTAAGTCTTCTTGTTAAGGAGCTATAACACCAATCACATCATGACATGACTGTGGAGAATGCGGTTTAAAAAGTTTAAATGTTGTATATTCTGTATCTGACAGTCTCATTTGATCATTATTTCAGTTGATCATTATAATTATAATGTACATTAGTACATTGTACTGGCACATACTCAATTTACCCAAACACATCATGCTCTCCCTTCCAGCCATTCATCTCACTTCCTCTCACCTGCTGCCCTCCCTCTTTGGTCCTGGTGATTCCCAGCCCCCCTTCATTCCTCTCCCACCTCCTCCCTTTGTCAGTGTCCTGCATCCAAAAGTCCTCATTCTGTCTGGTCCAC